CTCAACCCCTAGGTTAGTGAAAGCCGCATGTATAATTCTCATTGACAACACATTCCCGCCGACGGCGAGTGTCGTACAGCAAGAGAAAGCCATTAGCTAAAAAGATTCTTCTGAATCGCCTATTGTAGCATCGAACGAAGGCGAACGCCTGACTAGATTCGGAAATTTACTCGCTTGGGGTTATTCCTCCAACATGTTTTTCAGCTGTCAGAACGCAAAAAAAAGATTGAACCGAAAGTGTGTTTTTGTCTTGATGACTTCTTATTTCACAGTGCGCGAGCACCACTCCAATTTTCACATAACAAGTCTCACACAGCCATACTCCCTCCCCCCTCTTAGGCCAGCTGCCTTTCTTATTGAGCAATACACCGAAGGTTAGGACGTGATACTGCTTGTGTGAGGGGGCCAAATAACTGGTTGAAACTAGGTTTGCCAGCGGTTTGTGGGTAAATGCTGAAGCTTTAGCAATGTGCAAGCTAAATTTGGCCATGTTTGAACATAACTACGAAGTACCACGCATTTGCATTTACGTTATACGGCCTATCGGTGGGAAATAACGTCTGAAAGTATAACCACTATATGCCCTAATTCGGTCTATTTACCAGATCCGGGATTAAGTTCATTTTACGTACAGCTTTCGCTGAAGACTGACTTATTATCCACTACTCGCGGATGCACTAAGGAGGCTGTGACCAGGTCAGTCTCTAAGGCTAGTCTACCTGGGCTTTCCGTCGTCCACATATCCACTTCAGTCGTTCATCTAAGGCTGTTGCCCCTATCAAATCCCCGATATGACCTACTATAGCTGAACTTATTTTGTTTGGCGATCATTGTTCAAAGGTTGCAACAGGGCTTCAATGCTCAAGCAAAAAACGTTTCTGTCGGATGATCTCAGTCTAAACTCATTCTTTCCTTAAATGCAATTCTGGTCGTTTTGGTCTCTGTCTTGTAGGCAGATGCATCAGTTAACCAGGACATACTGCGGAATTCTATTCTACTACATCTAGTCGACAAGTATCACCGGGTCAATGGCCAAGATTTTTTTCATTTTGTCCACCGGACACTAGCAAAGTTCTCTAAAGGCCTACGTCGACGTGTGATGGCTACACCCGAGGCAGTGTGTATATGACTAATAAATCCATTGCTATGTTTTCAAAAGACGTTGACGCAGGCTTACTGTCTTTCGTGGGCATCCCCGATCCCAGGTGGTTATCGCATACCGCCCTAACCCCCTGATGACTCTTACATGTACTCCATGTACTTGACTTACAAACAACAATCTATGTCACCCTGACCTTGGCCAGAACACGTCAACAACGTCATGTGCTTGTCAACTTCACCTTTCAAATGTAACATAGGAATATTCGCAGAACGCGGTCATACTTCGCGAGGTATGTCGCCAAATATGTTTTCTAAATAATAACAAACACGAGACACTGAGGCAAGTGTGTAGGTTATGCCGAGTATGTGCCCTCTGTCACCGGCACTACATCTATTCGACGTTTTACAGTCTCCAGTATGTTAATCAGCAATGTGCAAAGCACCTTTCTGTTGAGAAGGATCTTCATCTGTGCCATTGATTTATTGCGTGGTTTTTGCTAAACGGCTGACAGATCGATATGCTTGTTAGTTTTGTCCTTGGTTGAGCCCCGCGTCATCTGAATCCGGCCAGTACTTTGCTCATCCGACTGACCCACTCGAGACCAAAGTTATGCTCAGGCGAGGACGCATGGGCTAACCAAGGCAAATTTATCCTTCTGTCTCATAGCGAGCTCGTGTTCGTGCAACCACGTGCGGACCCCTTTGTCAGTTTTACCAACATAATTCGTTTGACAAACCATGCAACCTATCTGCCCAGGAACATCCGATTTATGCTTGATGGGACTTAGGTCCTTAGACTGCACGAATGGCAGGCGGATTATCGCCTTCAATCTATGAGTAAAGTTAATCCCAAATTTGTTCATCAATATAACTAATTCTTTCTTATCCCCGTCAACAAAAACAGCCTGCACTAAAATTTCGTTTTTTGATGTCCCCTCGTTTCTCTTTGTCTTTCTTCTTGCCTGCGTTTTTGGATAAAATTGCCACGGTATTAGTTAACTATACGGAATTTCCGCATAAACGGAACCTCGACCACCTTGTCATTGGTCAAATAAATATATTCCTGCTGCAGTCGAAGTACGGTTCCCCAGGAATCCTTATTTGGACCCATTTGCTTGCTGACACATGCAGTCAATTGCAGAAGACTGTTGAAATACGAAGCGTCACTTTCTTCTGAAAACATGGACATTTGTGGTTTCATTAGAGGTCCTACCGACAAAGATATGTGACAATCGATGTTTTCATGTTGACAGGTGTTTATTACGTCACCTTGGCAACGCCGTTGGATCCAGTGGCAAGAGAAAATAATTTCTTCAACGGTTTAGCCTTACGAGACATGGTAGCTGATAAGAAACTCCTAAATGCTCGAGAGTGGCAAAACGTGTATTGCTTGTGTTGCATGCCGTCATGTCAACAACGGCAAATAAGCAAGAAATGGCCCTTCCAGCCTTCTTGTTTCTGTTAGTAATGCGTTCAGCAAGTATCCCTTTTCTACTAAACCGGAAATGCATACCTTAAATTATTACGCATTCCATGAAAGACTGTATCACCATACATGCGGGATCAGTTGTTGTTATAGATACATTTCTTAAAAAGACAGCAGACATTGCGACAACTCAATGTTTCGTGAAAGATGTCTTATTAAAGCAACTTGGGTATAAGCTAGGTTCAGTTTCGATAAACATATGACAGTGCATTTGCAGCAATGAAGTATTGCAGAGTTGTGGACTGTCATTAGGTTACAAATGAAAATTATAAGACTTTCGATTGTTAGGATGATTCGCGACTAAACATATTATGCATCTGAGTGCAAACTGCTTTCTATACTTTGCGCGTTATGTACAGTAGGTGAGCTAACTCATGAAATGTCAACCGAAATTCCGAAATGCGTTTTCGTTTCGAAAAGATTAATTAAGTAGGGTTATTGGCCTGGTCATCCTGCAACATAGATATATAACAATTCAATCGCCTCGACATGCCGCCTTTCGGAGGAATTTTTTACGTTGCATAAAAAATCTATACTTCGTAAAACATAACTACTTAAGTAGCATGAAATGTCTTCATTGGTTTTCGCCGCCATAAAGCATTCAATTATGTTTCATGGAAAACATACATAAAAATATTACTTTTCCTGCTCATTCGGTAGAAAATTGCGTCTTCTTTTAATTTTGTACTCAAAGGAAGATAATTGTTGGGTTTTCAATAGCTTCACAAATTAAAAATAATTTTGACTCTGACCTGTCGTTAAACTTGCATTCAGGGTTTCCAAACTACAAGCCGTATATTTTCCGCGTGCAGAAAACCACACATTTCTCTTCGGTATTAAGAGGAGACCGTATGGGGTTCATAAAATTTAGCAGTGTATTTGAACCATACGGTTAACTTAACAAGCCAAATTGGTAAGTAGAGAGATATGACGTTTTGAGAACGGCCATTTCAAGGTGATAAAAATGTTTCACACTAAGAAATTTTTTTAAAACTGAATTATGCCCATCTTTTGAGTATAAACTTGGAAGAAGAATTAATTTTCTACCGGGCGAACGGAAAAATAAATATTTTATGCATGTTTCCCATGAAATATAATTGAATAGTAGAGAGCATTAAAAATTAATGAGAAGAAAGCATGCTACTTGAGTAGTTTATTTACAGAGTATACTTTTTCATGCAGCCAAAAAGGTCAACCCGAAAGCCGGTATCTCGAGCTAGCTAAATCCTTACAGAATTTTGCTGCGGCATGATTAGTTTTATAACCCTACCTAATTAATCATTTCGATACTTAAACGATTATAAATTTTTGCTTGAAATGTTGTGAGTTAGCCACCTACTGTATGTGCTTGTCCAAGTTTCTCTGGCAGGTACAGAGTTATATACTTATTGCACCTTCATGTATCTTTGCCAATAAGGACAAACGTGTCGTGATATATTGCGCAAGGGCAAGGCTGCAAAATCACAAATTCCAATTGTTTGTCCTAAATTTGCCCACAAATCGCTCTATGAGTCGGCGCACTTTTAAAAGCAATTGTACATGTAATGTTGTGGGCCTAATTGGGCGATAAATACTCGCCATATTATTTTTACATCATCAACGTCTAACATAAGGATGAATTGCACTGATTCACGCAAATAAAGGTCGCAGGCGAAAATTTCTATCGATTTGAACCTAGCGGATTGTCAAGAGCAGAAAACAGGGGACATATTAATCACAGTTGACCGTTTCCGTGTCCTAACTTAGTTATAAATCACCATAATTACTGGCTGTTAGGTGCTGCACTTGCACATTCCGTTGATGGAAAAAATTAAATTTTCATTTAGGTCAGGACATTTGGTGCATGCCATGGTCATCTGACCGAATATTCCGATCTCAAAGGGCATGATGAAAAGATCGATGCTTGCTAATAAACCATCTAGACTTCAAACATCCAGCATGCAGCCAAACGTCCTGACATCAATAGGTCGGGCCCGCTTGAATCAGGGGGTTAGATTCAGCTGTATTCAAGCCTTACCCTTGCCGTCCTTAACTCAATTTCCGCCACAGGTGACCTATTTCTCATAAATGCGTCCAATGCACCATTCAACCCTACCGAATCGTCAACTATTTCCACTGAACTGCTGTTATATTTACCTACTTTATTCTGAGCGTTTTGCTGTCTAACGTGGTTTTAACTGACATATTCGGAGCTCTTACCAATTATCCTTCGCATGCGCTGACTCCCATTTTAGAATGTGCAACCCTCTTCTTTTATTTAATCGTAATTAGCATTGAAAAATGGCCCTGTCACTTCTGCCATTGTTTTAATGCTTTCATAATTTTCATATCGAAGTTCCTACTTATCTTTTACCATATGCGAGAGAGCAGAACTTTATTAATTTATCAATGTTTATTTCAGTTACAGAAAAATCTACGAAAATGGAAAACGGGCTCCTAAAGTGTACTTTGTTTGTTTCAACATTTCACGCTCGTCAGCATTTTTTCTGCCATCTGATAAACCGTGTTGTATTGCGCTGCATCTGCATGTTGCCGATTGGCTGTAGAATGTAGGTAGTTTCAATTCCATCAGGGCTTTTTAATGTGAGAGATAGATTGGTCTCCACCATTTTACCGGTTATCCGCATGAGTTGATAGTTCTGACCATTGATTTGCTCTGAAACGTTTAAATACCGATTGAATTCCATGCTCGCTTTCTCATCTCTCAGTTGGTCAGCATTAATTTCCAACTGACCATATGGCACAAACAGCTCTGCGCCAGCAAGAGCTGTATTCTTTGGGTACTTTGAAATGAACTCTTTAAGCAGTATGTCCTTCAAAATGTAAAGTAGATTTCGTGCAACCATTAAGTTTCTCAAATACACATAAATACGCAATCTGTTAAGGGCAATTTTAACAAAACCTGTAGCACGGTGCAAGCTAGAGTTTGGTTACCTTTATGTCTTTGTCAAACACCAGTGTAAGCGTGTCCATATAATCGCTTTCAGCATAAAATGCTTCAGTAAATACGGAACTAAACGGCCCTGCCAATTAAATATGCATAATAAGAATGAGCAACAGACAGAGTTCCAACTGCAAGCAATGACAATGCATGCATAAGAGTGAATTAAAGGTTAAGCGCACGCATTTTGGTGACGTAGGCAATACAAAACGACTACAAAAAATATGCACATGGATAGTATCCGGCACTTCCCACTATAGCTACTATGACGTTTAACAGTCCGGCATCTTCGGGAATGACGAGAATCCTTGCGTTGCCACTCTTAGGGTCTCCATATATTTGAAGACTGCGTCTTCCTATCAAGACAAAAACCATCGTGAGTGGGTAAAACGTTGCGTAACGAGCATTCAAGTTGCTACTGCACTTAAATTAACCAAACCAAACACGCTCAAATGATTGAGTGCTCCGCAAACTGCAGTCAATCTAATCAGGCAAAGTCAGTAAGGATTTAAGGAAAGATGTGGGCGAACTCAGTGTTACGCGATATACAAAGCACTCTTTTTAATGCTAAAAATGGAACATTTGAGAACTGATTTGTCTATCAAAATGCCCCACTGAAATTAAATCGAAGAGAAACGTCAAAGTCGATATTTCCAATAACTTTGCCCAAATATTTAAAAAAACACCTACTGAATGCTGATCCTTATAAGCACACTCACGTGGTAAAAATTGTACACACATTTTATGTGGTCTGCAGGGTTCTTCCGCCGTTTTCTCAACAAATCCCGAGTCTGACTTGCTGAACTGTAACACAAACGTAAGCACTAGCGGACGTCCATAATTGACTTCAGAGGTGCATGGAATATTTGCTCGACGTACCGAACTTGAGGCATCGACTCTTATGACATATTCGAACTTCGCGTTCATTGGTACTCTATATATGTCTACGAGGGTGGTATTGCCAAAAATTAACTGACAAGCCTACTTTTCTGAGGATCAGCGAAGGCAACAGAAAGAAGCAGAACTATGACTAGCAGTGACTTCATGTTTCCAGGATACGATAGCTAAAAATCCTACATGTGATTTCCGGTTTAAACTATGCTTGTGAAATCTAACCAGGAAATGGTCGCAACTCAGTCGTCTACTAGAACAGAGCCCTGAAACGTTTTATAGGTTTTTCAGTCGTCTGCGTTTGTCCAATCATATCCTCCATGTGGATGAGTTCCCATCGAAAAGGTTGGCAATATTTTTTTACCGTTATCGGGTCGCTGTCAAGATGATCGTTTATTTACTCTTACATTCGGAACGACAGCACTGTCATAACATTCTTTGGATAACGCAGTGCAGGTTAACCGGATCGGTAGCCTGCCGTTTTATCTGTTTTGTCTTTTTGCGTAAAAAATTTTATGGGTGGAGTATACTGACTGCTATTGACTGACTAGTGCTTGCGTGGCTCTTCCAGACCATGAAGTCATTGAGCATTGATAGGAGTAGAGAGAAAGAGGCAAAGAGCAGGAGAGGGAGAGGAAAGACCTCATTGCGAAAGTATCATCCTAAAGTTTTCGGCAAAACATACTATCAGTCCCGTTCCTCGAACGTAAATTAGTAGATGAGAAGAGAGCTGATAGACGACGTATTACTATTGAGAAAACAGTCTGACTGCCCGTTTCTGTACTTCGATCACTTTACGCGTAAGATATCTTGCCGGAGATGGTTATGCATAACGCTTATGCCCCAATGTACGACAAGAGGTGTTGGAAGCTACGGTGCATGGGCAGACAAATTTTGCAACAACGAATTCAGATTGAAGGGGATTAAAAGCGTCATCCGAATCAAATTAGCAAATTGCTTGAAAATCGTTAAGTCTCAATACCTCAAGCTATTGACTACAATGCATGGGAGGCACCGAGAGGCACAGTAGTCGAGAAACTTTGCTAGACACGTTTTAAGATGGGCATATTTTATTAAAACATTCAGGAAAAATCTCAGAACGTTACCGAATATGTGTCAGAATTTAGGCATCTATGAAGTCCCAGATCGGGGATTGAGGTAAGTGGATAGAACTTGAATGACGAAATTGAAAAATTAATTTAACAGTTTCCGTGAAAAATATTCCAGTATGAAGGGAAAATGAGAGATTTAATGAAGAGTTAACACTAAGAGGCCGCAGATTTAGCGTCTTTTTAGGAAGAACGCCAGGGCATTAAAGAACGGGAGGAGGTTGCAGTGCAGAAACATTGCTGATTTCTGATAAGGAATGAAAAGATCATTTCTACTTACCTCGAAGCGACATGATCTGGGTCATCCCTCAGAAAGTTTGGATGGGTGATGACTTAGAACAATATCATCACCTACTTTGCACAAGGCAACAATTCGGCGATGTCAAATCATCAGTGTGAAATTGGAAGAGATGAGGAGATAAGATGAAATCATGAGTGACTCCGCAGATCAGTAGACTTCCGCTTGTCAGACTTAACAACGTGGATCTGAAAGGAAAGAAGTATCTAAGCTAAGAGAGCATCCAGCCAGGAGAAACACAGGACGATTTTCGGCCTGGAAGGAAGTATCGTATTGCGGTATTTAAGGCAGGTAATAGTCAGGAGATGTGCATGCGTAAGCATGGTAACTTAAATCCAGATCTCTCAAGACAGCATGAACCATGAGAGCATCTGCATCCAAGGTACTGCCTCCTTTTACATACAAATTGTTGGCGGCCGAAAGAATTTATGATGAATGGTAAAATGTCATCTAAGGCAACACCTACAGCGACCCTCAGAAATGCTTAAGGCCATGCAATTAAACATATGGGTTAACGACCAAAATCAGTAGATTTTTCGACAATGGAAGTGATTCTTACTATAGTCCCAGCGTCAGGCGTACATGAAGCGAATCGTTGTAGGGGCGGACAAGGGCGGATTTGGCGGGAAGCCGAAAAAAGAAGTGAGCGCTTTGTAGTGCTGTGTTTTCGGCGAGTCTCCTTCTTTCTTTACCTTGCAAACCAGAATGGGGATTCAAACACGTTTGAGAAGATGCATCCAGTGGATATAGTACCATCTACCTGACTTACAATATTGAAGTATCCAACAATCCCTTTTGGCCCCCTGTTATCCACCATCTTTGTTGATACTCTACGTTCCCTACACTTATATAACCTATCTTGTATCGATACATTTCATCTCCTACTGAGTGCTGCACTAGCTTGTGTTTCTAAGTGAAGGATGATTGACGCTGACAACCAACACAATTCGGCGTTGGAGCATGGTCCCGGATGAAAGGCTAACCTAGTGAGAGGAACACTAAGATGAGGTTAAAAGGGACGCTAGCTGTGAAAAGCAGGAATTAAGAAGAGGTGGTGAGATATCATCAGAGCCCAGCAGTTCTCTGTCTGCGGAACTCGTATTTCTACACGCGTTTATAGAGGAATGGCATTTTTGAGAAAATTGAAATCAATGAAAGTAAAGATAAAACTCCATTTGATGAGTCTAAATCGCGCCAACATTTCTTGGCACGTTTCACTGGACAGTGAGACGTTTAAGTTTCCCCCTTATGTTAACGAAAGGATTTAAAGTTAAAGAATCGAGAAGAAGCAGATCCGACTAACAAAGCAGTCATTCTCTACGTTAATTGCATGCCCAGTACGACGTTAGCCAGAAACAATACTGATGGAATTATTTGTTGGACCCGTAATAGGCAGCAGTCTGCGATAGTTTTAATTAGAGGAGGCTGTACCTGTTAGTGCTCTGACCTTTGGGCAGTTATCGTCTGTAATCCACCGACTTACTATAGCAGCCACTCAACAAATGCCTGATTTTCTACAATTAAATCCTTATTCGGGCACCCACATTAGTTTGTCGCCACTGTTAATTTATATGATGATCAAAAGTTGGAACACAGGCGCGATATTAATGCTGATGAAATAACGGACAGCAAATTCCGAGTATCACATGTTCAAAATGGCGCAACGCTGTTAATTTTACCTGCCAATGATTATACGTTTGTACCGATATAATTAGAAGGAGATTGTTAACTAAGACAGGGGAGATTGAAAAGGTCATTTCGGGCCCGTCAGTCGTCATCAGCCAGACAAGTCTCCCTGTTTGCCTGTAGGCACATACGTTTGGGTGCCTGTGCTGGTGTGTTGCTTGCAAGGCTTTACATCGAGGCAGGAAGGAATAACTTTTGGGAGCTCTTTCTGACAACCGATCAGGAAGTGCATTTCACGCACCGATTTACGTTCAAGTTCATCTCTGAACTTATGTGACCATTCATTGTGAAAATGTTAATCATCAAAACGAAAACTCAGAATAAGCACTGACAAGGAAATTGACCGAGTTTAAGAGAAAACAGTGAATTGTTTTGTCTGTTGCAGGATAATGACTAATGGCTATCAGCGACGCTTATAACGGGCCCATATTTCCAAAATATTAAAAAAAATGAACTACGCTGCATTTGTTAGCAGGTACCACAGTTAAACCCTTTCATGAGGGACAAATACTGAGCACAGGTTTTTTGACCAACGAATAATATAATAACTGCAAGCCCGTTATATGACTTAAACTTTTTTGATGGTTAGATTGCATATAAAGGGGAAAGTGATATGCCAACTTTCCTCAACATACTCGTTACTGGCAGCGCATTTGACACCTATATAAACATTAAGCTGATATTTGACAGAAACCGCGCCCTCTATCTCTCTTCGAATGAAATTCACACATTGCTAGTAGACAACAAAAAAGGCGTCTAGATGCTCTATCTTCATTTTAAAGGCTTTTCTCACTGAATCTACTTTTCGGTTTAGACATCACTTATGTGAAACGATCTGGTTCATAAATGATAAGGACTTCCTGGAAGAGTCTTTGGAGGACTGATTAGACTTCTTTTCCCAGGGAAGCATGATGCATAGTCCTATTTGCCAACGACTCTCATAATATTTTGCTCAGCGCAGTATGTCCTGGTTAACTGATGCATCTGCCTACAAGACAGAGACCAAAACGACCAGAATTGCATTTAAGGAAAGAATGAGTTTAACCAGTGTTCATCCGACAGAAACGTTTTTTGCATGAGCATTGAAGCTCTGTTGCAACCTTTGAACAATGATTTCCAAACAAAATAAGTTCAGCTATAGTAGGTCATATCTGGGATTTGATGGGGGTAACACCCTAAGATGAACGACTGAAGTGGATGTGTGGACGACGGAAAGCCCAGGTAGACTGGCCTTAGAGACCGACCTGGTCACAGCCTCCTTAGTGCATCCGCGAGTAGTGGATAATAAGACAGTCTTCAGCGAAAGCTGTACGTAAAATGAACTGGATCCCGGATCTGGCAAATAGACCGAATTAGGGCATATAGTGGTTATACTTTCAGACGTTATTTCCCACCGATAGGCCGTATAACTTGACTGCAAATGCGTGGTACGTCGTAGTTATATTCAAACGTGGCCAAATTTAGCTCGCTCATTGCTAAGGCTTCAGCATTTACTCACAAACCGCGATTAAGCAGGTTCTTTTAAGCTGATCGTTTTCTGTCGTTAACCTATGGGTTGAGAACCGCAACGCATTGTCTAGTAGATATGGTGGTGGTCTTCACTTGGTCAGTAATAACATCAGATTGCCTTTGCAGCTGTGTGAGTAGAGGATACTATGCAGTGTGTTTGGCGTCGTATCCTTGAAGATCATGCCCTCGTGTGTGTGTGATGTGCCCTCCAAACGGGTCACGTGTTAGATGTTGGACCAACGCGGGGGCCACATCCGATTTTGGCAGGTTGTATCTGTGCAAAATAACAAATGCCAACATTTGCGGAGTGCGCTGGCAGTCCCTGTCGTCGACGGTCATCGCGCAACTGGATCTCTGCCATCACCCCATTGTTTGGCGGTCAAAATCCTGGTCATTTGTTGTATGGACCAGAGGGTGCGGTGTGGAACGCCAAGGTGAGGATCCGTCCGAGCCGTCTACCTGCGGCCTCTCTCGTCTCCGGTCTTCATGACTCTGTCTTGACACCGGGCCCAGGCGGGGGAGGAGGAGAGAGTGTAGGTAGATGCAGCGCAAG